CCCCCCCCCCCCCCCCCCCCCCCCCCCTCATCCCAGTCACACACCTGGTTGAGCACTTAAGCATCGGGGCCCGTCTCCATGCAGAGGAGTCCTTACCCAGCGCTCTGGACTCCTGCGTTTGTAACGACTTGATTGAATTTGACATCCCTCATTTGGTTCAGAGAAACATAACGGGTCGCTGACTGGAAATGGACGTCATTGGGTGAAATGCGTACGCACCTTCTACTCACTTCAGAGATGAACGCACACGCGCCAAGCAAAGCACCTGTGTTGCCTTTCTGATTACATTAGAAAAGTCTCGTTATGTGGAGAGGAAAACCTGAGCCATGCGGGGTCACCTGGAGACGTCCCGTGGCTCACCGGGGGATTTTTCCAGGCTTGGCTCCAGGCTGCCAGTCAGACACAGAGCAGGACTGCAGCAGGAGGACGTAAAGGATGTAAACATAACGTTGGATTATGAAATGACAGACTGGCTGACAGTCTATCCGAGAAAACACGTTATTACTCTCACAGCTGAAAGCTTTAGAGCAGAAAGTTCCCATTAATCTGTCCGCTTACACATTGATCTTTGTTAAAGGAACCATGGGATTTAAATGTAATCTGAGAGATAGCCCAACGCCCACATTTCAAACACAATTTTGGAGCCTGCTATCACTATTTATGTGATTGGCAAGCGTTTTAATACTCTATATAGGATTATAATAGACTCATAATAGAAAACAACCGTTCTTCATGTAGCAAAGGCACAACATACTGGCATACCTACAAATACAAAACAAAACGCACGACGACACACCGCCTGAAGTTTACCTGCTCAGTACACGGAACTAAAACCTTTGACATGTTGGGAAGTGATGCATGGGGAGACGACACGTGGACATGACGCTCTCCAGAGCCAGTCAGCATGTGCACGAGGGCCTCAGCTCGTCCTCCATTCAAAGTGCGCTTGATCACAATGGACTCAAACAAAATGAGGCCGAGTGTAAAAGGAACAAGTTTCCAGTGCAGGAACAGATCGCTCCTCTCCATGTTCGGCTCAAAAGACATTTTAACGTACCGGTGAAAGGCTAGAGGAGACCAATTTGGAACCGCTCAGCAAAAAGCACGATGTTGGCGTTCAGAACATCCGTCTCATCTGTCCTCGGTCTGAACGTCTCTGTTTTACTCTCTTACGACTCGAGCAAAAAGCTTGGGCGTGACTTCATATCTACTTTAGGAACAGCTGACTTGTTAGGCAGCATTGATTGTGTTGTATGCATAAAAGGATTATATAGAGCTGGACAGCTAGGCTGCTGATATTCACTTCCCTGCTTATCTGAGTTTATTGATCACTGGGGTTTTTGGATTAATGGACAGTATTCCACATCAGCTGGTTTTGGCTCAGTCACTGCATTTCTCAAACGTGATTGGTCAATACCACCCGCGCAACAAACGGAAACCTGAACGCTTCCGATGCCAAAATCTCGCCCCGTTCTTAAAACGTAATATTCTGCATTCATATGCAGAATATCTATTCTGTTTATAGAGATAGAATTATTTTGAATCAATGAATTGAGCGCCTGTATCAAACACGCACTGACATACAGAACACAAGTCTGCTCCTTCAGTTGTGTCGCTGCCTTTAGTCTTCAATTTAAATAAATATGAAAGTGTATTTTTTCTCCAGGCTCAGCTTCAGAGCCCTGTGTGTGTGTTTCCCCCTCTGTCTCAGGAAAAACCCCAAATAACGCTTGTTCTGTTCCTCTCAGGTGGCTGGTATGTTTACCAGCAGAGGAACGAGGTGCACAACAATTGCGGCATTGAGATCTACTATCAGACCGACATGCAGACCACCCACGACAACATGCTGCTGGAGCTCTTCTGCCAGATCGTCTCGGAGCCCTGCTTCAATACACTGAGAACCAAAGAGCAGCTGGGTGAGCCAGCCGGAGATTTAGTCCGACACATTTTGTGGAGCACAAGTGTTTATAAAGATGAGGGGGAAAAAAAAACACTGTCAGTTGTGCTTAAATTTAGCTGCTCGCCATGTATTTTGAATATTTATTCAGGCATTTTTCTTTGAGGATTATGCCGCTTTAATCTGCATTTAATCGTTAGATTCTAGTGCTGTCGACCATGATGATCTTTAATACCTCGGAGAATGAATGCATTGGGTTTTCTTGAAAGTAGTGCTGTAATCGTAGTGCCAGACCGTAAGTCAATATCAAGATACAGAGACAGTAATAAGAATAACATGAGGACATAAACGCACTCCAATAACACCACTACAAAGGCTCAAGTAGATGAGTGTATGATTGCCATGCTAATAGTTCAGAGTAAAATGGCCTTTGAAGCCACCGTACCCAGTCTGTCCTCTGTGCTGAGCTCTATCATACCCCCCACCCCCCCCCCAGGCTATATTGTGTTCAGCGGGCCCCGGCGGGCTAACGGGGTGCAGGGCCTGCACTTCATCATCCAGTCGGAGAAGGCGCCCCACTACCTGGAGAGCCGCGTGGAGGCGTTCCTCTGCACCATGGAGAAGTCTGTGGAGGAGATGGCCGACGAAGCCTTCCAGAAGCACATCCAGGCTCTGGCCATCCGCCGCCTGGACAAGCCCAAGAAGCTGTCTGCCGAGTGTGCCAAGTACTGGGGAGAGATCATCTCTCAACAGTACAACTTTGACAGAGGTGAGGCCTCCCAGCGCTGCTTTCCACCTCACTGCTAACTCTCAATCGTGTTTAGGTTTCAACCAGAATGCACCTCTCTGATCTACCAGCTGTTTGTGTATCCTATCCTAGCTTGTGTGTTACGTAGAAAAGTCAAATACAACTTTGAAGACGTATCCATATTGTTTGGACGGTCCCAGAGGTGAGCAGGATGTTGCTTAGAGTTGCACAATTTCGGATTGATTAACACCTGAGATAATCTGCAGCCGTAGCACACCTCTCCTGAGAGCCGTAATGGATTGTAATGGGCCCGATTCACTGGTAATCTGCCTGAAGCCCTGAGTGATGGCAACACTGAAAGGCTGCCACGGGAGTGGTGGTGATTACTGATACTAGCATGGGGGGGTGGAGGGCAGCTGACACGCCCAATGCCAAGGGCACAAAAAAAACGTACAACATCCGCTTATTAGTCAGAGCTCACACACACACACAGCTGCTGTTGTAAGCATTTTTCTTTTACATTTTGTGTAGAAAGATGCTTTAACATGGTTACATTCTGTTTAACCAGAATGCTTTGCTTTACCATCAACCTGTTCACGGCAACAGAGAGACTGTTGATTGGAGAAGTCTTCCCAATTGTGACAAACAATTAGCAAAAATGAAAATGATACCCGGCAGCTCGAGTCCAGCATATCGGTGGAAATGAAGCCACTAATATGAACCATGTCACTGGTGCTTCCAGTAGCATTATTATGCAGCACTAATAACTTTGACCAGAAATGCAGTTGAGTGATGGATTGTCAAGGAATTTTAAAGCTCTTTTTTTTTTTTAAACAGTTGAAACACAAACTGTTTACCCTGTTGTGTTGCAGATAACACTGAAGTGTCCTTCCTGAAGACTCTGACGAAGGAAAACATAATGCACTTCTACAGAGTAAGTAGAACAACTTCATGTCGTACAACGTCGCATATGTATGTATGTGTATGTATGCATGTATGTATGTGTATGTATGTATTAATTCCACCAACTATAGTAATCTGAGAAGAACACCATTTTTTTTCTCCCCCATACATTTTACTAAAATGGTCTATTTTCATATTCTACAGGGCAAAGAAAATGTTTAGATATTGTGCATATATTTTCCCTAGTGCTTTCAAAAAGCCCCCTGTGAGGCTTAAAGCCACATGACAATACAGGACTACCTGGCCGGACAATAGCAATGAAAGACCTTTACCTATTTCGACATCCAAAGCAGCTGAGGATTTGTCTGTTGTCGGGTCACTGATGAGCATTGCCTTCAGGCCATTGGTGAACTCCAAACCCCGGTAAACCCGTTTGTCCTCAGGAGAGCGAATTATGTCACTGACCACCCTGTTCACTGCTGGGTCGGTCATTCTGAGAGGCAAGGATGACACCAGCCTGCAGTGGAGGGAATCAAATGTACGGTCAACGTTTGGTGCAGTTAGTCAAGGACTCTGTCATATTCTGATATAACCCACATTTTACAGGTGCTGGTCATATAATTAGAATATCATCAAAAAGTTGATTTATTTCAATAATTCCATTCAAAAAGTGAAACTTGTCTATTATATTCATTCATTACACACAGACTGATATATTTCAAATGTTTATTTCTTTTAATTTTGATGATTATAACTGACAACTAAGGAAAATCCCAAATTCAGTATCTCAGAAAATTAGAATATTACTTAAGACCAATACAAAGAAAGGATTTTTAGAAATCTTGGCCAACTGAAAAGTATGAACATGAAAAGTATGAGCATGTACAGCACTCAATACTTAGTTGGGGCTCCTTTTGCCTGAATTACTGCAGCAATGCGGCGTGGCATGGAGTCGATCAGTCTGTGGCACTGCTCAGGTGTTATGAGAGCCCAGGTTGCTCTGATAGTGGCCTTCAGCTCTTCTGCATTGTTGGGTCTGGCATTTCGCATCATCCTCTTCACAATACCCCATAGATTTTCTGTGGGGTTAAGGTCAGGCGAGTTTGCTGGCCAATTAAGAACAGGGAGACCATGGTCCTTAAACCAGGTACTGGTTGCTTTGGCACTGTGTGCAGGTGCCAAGTCCTGTTGGAAAATGAAATCTGCATCTCCATAAAGTTGGTCAGCAGCAGGAAGCATGAAGTACTCTAAAACTTCCTGGTATACGGCTGCATTGACCTTGGACCTCAGAAAACACAGTGGACCAACACCAGCAGATGACATGGCACCCCAAACCATCACTGACTGTGGAAACTTTACACTGGACCTCAAGCAACGTGGATTGTGTGTCTCTCCTCTCTTCCTCCAGACTTTGGGACCCTGATTTCCAAAGGAAATGCAAAATTTACTTTCATCAGAGAACATAACTTTGGACCACTCAGCAGCAGTCCAGTCCTTTTTGTCTTTAGCCCAGGCGAGACGCTTCTGACGCTGTCTGTTGTTCAAGAGTGGCTTGACACAAGGAATGCGACAGCTGAAACCCATGTCTTGCATACGTCTGTGCGTAGTGGTTCTTGAAGCACTGACTCCAGCTGCAGTCCACTCTTTCTGAATCTCCCCCACATTTTTGAATCGGTTTTGTTTCACAATCCTCTCCAGGGTGCGGTTATCGCTATTGCTTGTACACTTTTTTCTACCACATCTTTTCCTTCCCTTCGCCTCTATTAATGTGCTTGGACACAGAGCTCTGTGAACAGCCAGCCTCTTTTGCAATGACCTTTTGCTGATTAGAGTGTGGCACCAGGGGTCTTCAATATTGAACCTTTTCACAATATTCTAATTTTCTGAGATACTGAATTTGGGATTTTCCTTAGTTGTCAGTTATAATCATTAAAATTAAAAGAAATAAACATTTGAAATATATCAGTCTGTGTGTAATGAATGAATGAATATAATAGACAAGTTTCACTTTTTTAATGGAATTAGTGAAATAAATCAACTTTTTGATGATATTCTAATTATATGACCAGCACGTGTGTGTGTGTGTGTGTGTGTGTGTGTGTGTGTGTGTGTGTGTGTGTGTGTGTGTGTGTAAAA